ACTTTGGCTCAACACAGAGTTCTTTGTTTTATTGCCATTCAAAGAAGACATTCACACGACTTCAACAAAGGCGAGTCATGCAGGAATGCCACCTACTCTGTTCCTCCAAGCAAATGAAGAGTGTGATCAACTGGTAAATCAAGGAATTGTTTCAACAACTAATTCCCCATGGACATGCAAAGCATTCTATGTCAACAACCGGGCCGAACAGGCAAGAGAAAAGTTCAGACTGATTATTGACTACAAGCCCCACAATCAATATCTACAGGATGTCAAATTCCCATTGCCAAACAAAAGGGCGCTTCTCCAACATCTTCAAGGAGCAACAATATTTTCGAAATTCGACCTCAAATCTAGGTTCTGGCAGCTTGGTGTTCATCCTGAAGAAAGGTACAAAACTGCATTTTGTCTACCAAATCGTCACCTTCAATGGAATGTTTTACCTTTTGGCCTCAAGACGGCGCCATCCCTATTCCAGCAAGCAATGCTCCGAATATTCAAACCTATCCTCCATACGTCTTTAATATACATCGACGATATCATTCTCTTCTCGGCCGATGAGAAGGAACATATTCAGCTGCTTCAGCAGTTTCAAGACATCATCAAAGAATATGGAATTATGCTTTCAGCCAGAAAGATGGTCATAGCCCAGCCCAATATTGACTTCCTTAGCATGCAGATTGCAAACGGTAATTTTACACCACAAGCCCATCTTGCTACAGCACTTCTAGATTTTCCTGATGAAAATCTCACAAGGCGACAAGTTCAGCAATTCCTTGGCGTAATCAATTATGTTAGCGACTTTATCCCGCAATTTTCGCAGCTGACGAGACTGCTACAGAAAATGCTGACAAAAAAATCCACCCCAATGGACAAAACGACAAATTGAGGCTGTCAAAAGTCTAAAGCTAGAGGTACAGAAGCTACCACCTTTAAAGATTCCCTCAACAGGAACACGCATTTTGCAGACAGACGCGAGTGACAAATATTGGGGAGCCATTTTATTTGAAGAGATAAATGGAAAACGTCAAATCTGTGGGTACAAGAGTGGACGCTTCAAAGACTCGAAGTTCCATTACGCCTCCACGTTCAAAGAAATCCTAGCAGTCAAAAGGGCTATCGAGAAGTTCGAGTTCCTTCTGATTGGACACAAATTTCGCATCGAGATGGATATGTCATCTTTTCCAAAAATGCTACAATTCAAGCAAAAGATGGTCCCACATCAACAGTTGTTACGATGGAGCGAATGGTTTTCAAAGTATGATTTCGAGTCCTTCTATTTAAAAGGCGCGAAAAGTACTCTTGCTGACATGCTCAGTAGAAACCCAGTAAAGGAAATACAAATGATGGCGAACTCTTCTGCAAGCTCTTCTACAAAACGTGTTACGACTTCACCTTCAACATGCCAGAAGACGCTCATCAGCTTATCYARAGGAGYYCTTTYCACGAYCATCTRAACGAWAAGATRTTCTARTACCAATCCATCATCCTGTCAAGATACGGAATCAACATCCATCAAATCTCACCATTAGGCATTCACCTTGACTATCCGTTCTTGCATCTCTACAGGATCGAGAACGCTAACATGCATGAAGAAGTCCTCTGTTTTCTATGGTACCTCTGCTCGGTTTACACCATAGGAATCGCTTTTGATATAAAATGGCTATATCAATACATCAACGCTCAACAAGGTCACCAGGAAAGTTTTTRGACATTCTTAACGTGGTTTGCACCCCTACCCGTCTGGAGCGAAAAGTTACGAAGATCAGCAAAAGCAATAAGCCTACCATTCAAGAAATTAAAAGGTTAAGGAGGTCTTAATCCCTTCTTTAATCCTCACACAATCTATTTTTTCCATCGTCTCGTCCAAGTCAACACTAAATCAGGAAAAATCCACGCACTCCCGACACTCYTTCATCACAACGACTATCATCGCGGTGTTCGTCCTGATTTCAATATCAATGACAACAAGGCATACGAGGATTTTCATACTCACGTGTTTCGCCTCAACAATGCTAGGCAAACTTTTCCGGTATCCTTCATCCCAAATTGGACTTACTATCCGGTTGATTATCAGATGAGCCTCGACGAAGACTTACAGTTCTTCATGGAAAATATGGAAAAAATACCAAATGTCCCCGAGTTACCAAACGTAACTAAGCAAGGATCTTCGTCTCAAGAATACTAGCCAGAACACTTCCAAGATGCTCAACTTCCCGATGATTCGAGGAGTATTGACGAAATTGGTTAGATGTTTGGCATCAATGTCAACGATGATTCTCACAAGCCTTATGAAGAACCAGAGATGGAATACGAATGCCCAAACGATCATTATGGCTGCTGTGACAAACACATTATCAAGTTCAAAACAAACCACTAAGTAAGTTATTTTAAGTGTGTTTTAAGTATGTCTTAAGTGTGTTTTAAATGTGTTTACAATGTAAAATAAATAATTATGTAAGCATGATGTAAGCAATGATGTAATTGCTGCTTATGTAAGCATGAAATAAGCAATGATGTCATTGCTGAGGTAAGCGCTTATGTCAGCGCATTCATCCTCACCTATAAATATGTGTGTACCCCCATTGTAAAATATCAAGTTTGGAAAATATTAAAAACTTCTCTCTAAGTTCTCTCTCTACAATGTCTTTCTAAATCTTTTAGTTTTCCAGACCTTTAAACTTCTTTCATAAGTTCTGATTTTCTATCTTCCATCCCGGAAGTCGAGATTCTGCTCCGTTGCTTTGGATAAGCATGAGTGGATGTCAATACGACGGTCAATATGACTTTCGTCTGTCAATATGACTTAGTCAATACGGCGTCCTCTCTGTGGTTGTCCTTACTATGAGATGTTTGCTCCTAATACCTAGATAATATTATCACCCCCGCGTCTGTCATCTCTCTATACAATTCACCAAATAATATTTGATTTCACTAGATGTTAAGAAAAAGAAGTTTGATTTCACTAATTTTTTTTACTTAAACCGTAATTGCATTTAGGTTTATCCAAATTCAAAACAACGCAATCCAATTACACTTTGAACATATCCCGAAATTAATTGACTCGCTTTCAACCTACTAGAACCTAGACTATCTGTAATAGAGTATGAGAAATCGATTTAGGGAAGATCAAATTAGGGTTCTTTAGGTTCTTAAAAGAGATATTATGCCAAACTAGGGTTCTCGAGACACCTTGAGCTAATGGTTTCACAGCCATCAAACTTTTTTGCAAGAATTCAACTTCTATCCAACAATCCAAGAACCCTAATTTGATATTCCCTAAATCGATCTCATGGTTAATTATAGAGAAACTAAGTTTTAGTTTGACGAAAAAGAGTCAATTCCTTTCATGATTGATCCAAATGTAACTGGATTGTGCTCTTTTGAATTCGGGTCAACCTAAACGCAAAAAGGTAAACACAATTCCGGTTTTGACTAAACGGATTTAGTGAAATCGATTTGATTTGGTGATTATAAAGAGAAATAAAGTTTATGTAGTTTTAGGAAAAATGTTGGTGTAGTAAAAAAGAGAAACAAAAAGTCTGGGGCATAGTGGTTTAGTTGCATATCTGGAAAGAAAAGTATACAATTAAACTTTGGTAAAATATTATTTTTTATACAAAATTAATTTTTTTTACTAAAATCTACACAAAAAGAAATTTAAAACAAAATAAAGTATAACGGAATCATAGCTAACGCAAATGATGAATACAAACAATGGTTAGAAGACTAGTTGGATACCAATCCGAGACTGAGACTGTTAACATACGAGCAATATCGAAGTTGTCACGAGCCATCGAAACCGAAGTTCATCTTTAAAACTTCAGATTATATCGCTACTTACAATTTTTTTTGGAAAACCCTCACAAATGTAATTTGTCAGCCATTGAACAAACAAAACAAAATTTTTTGAAGACGACGAATAACACCAAAACTTGAGAGAAGAAGTGACAATTTTATAGAATTAACTCCTTTTTAATGAAAAAAAAACTTTATTAGAAAATGGTACTTGATACTTGATTTCATGGTGTTTAGTTTTTTTTTGTTTTGGCATAGAAAAAGATTATATTAGAAATAAAGAGTTTGGGAATAAACATAGTACAAGGGCCGGTAGGGGACAAACCCATCCGTAGCCATATCAACATGACAACAAATTCGATCGGAACCAAGAACCCGAAAAAGGGAAACAAAGTCCAAACGAGTACTGGGAGACATAACCCGCATAAGAGACCAAAGAACCGAGTAATACAGCCCAATACAACCTCTAAGATTAAATACGAACACAACCTTAGAGACAACGACATCAAATGACAAAGACACTAGGCATGAAAACACAACCAACAAGTTACCATGGACTGAGATTATAGCGAAGCTCAAATCGGAAGAGGAGACGATGAAACCCAAGAAGAAAAAGACCACCAACAAGAGAAAAACAGCCTATTCACAAATACTACACTAATTAAAAAGAGAAAACACTTGATGTACATCGCCGTTTGAAGTTTATTTTGAAAAAAAATGGACAAAGAAGACACTAAAACTGCTGTTGGTGAGGTAAAGTAGACTCCAGAACAACTCCTTTCATGGTGTTTACTTTCAATGGATTGTTATTTTTTTAACGAATTTCATAATCGGGAAAAAAAATATTTAAAGAATATAAGAGACGAATCGTATTCCTAGGATAACTATGGTGATCTTTCGACC